CCCCCCCCCCAAGAAAAAAAAGAAGACGTGGATTGGCGCATTCCCGATTCTCGCTCGCGAACGCCGCACCGGAGAATCAAGAATGTGCCCATCCAGCTGAAAAGGTCCCCCCCCCACAGGAAAAAATGGATTGGCGCATTCCCGATTCTCGCTCGCGAACGCCGCACCGGAGAATCAAGAATTCGTTCATTTAATTGAAGGGGTCGGCGGCACTGGGCGGCAGCCCTTAAATAAAGATAATCATCATAGCCGTCGCTCATCATCGTCATCATCACGGTCATCATCATCGATGATAACCATCATCGCGCATCCTCTGCATCACCAACAGTCATGATGATAATGATGACTACGCGTGCATCCTCTGCATCACCAACAGTCATGATGATAATGATGACTACGCACCCTCTGCATCTCCAATCTCATCATCACCGCTATCATCACCGCTGATAACCATCGTCGTGCATCCTCTGCATCACAAACAGTCATCATGATAATGATGACTACGCACCCTCTGCATCTCCAATCGGGTCTAACGGGACTTTTGAATCGTATATGAAAAACATAAAGATAAGGATCCTCATCATAGCCGTCGCTCATCATCGTCATCATCACGGTCATCATCATCGATGATAACCATCATCGTGCATCCTCTGCATCACCAACAGTCATGATGATAATGATGACTACGCGTGCATCCTCTGCATCACCAACAGTCATGATGATAATGATGACTACGCACCCTCTGCATCTCCAATCGGGTCTAATGGGACTTTTTGAATCGTATATGAAAAAGATAAAGATAAAAAAGTCCCGTTAGACCCGATTGGAGATGCCGAATCGTATATGAAAAAGATAAAGATAAGGATCCTCATCATAGCCGTCGCTCATCATCGTCATCATCACGGTCATCATCATCGATGATAACCATCATCGTGCATCCTCTGCATCACCAACAGTCATCATGATAATGATGACTACGCACCCTCTGCATCTGCAATCGGGTCTAACGGGACTTTTGAATCGTATATGAAAAAGATAAAGATAAGGATCCTCATCATAGCCGTTGCTCATCATCGTCATCATCACGGTCATCATCATCGATGATAGCCATCATCGTGCATCCTCTGCATTACCAACAGTCATCGTGATAATGATGACTACGCACCCTCTGCATCTCCAATCGGGTCTAACGGGACTGTTGAATCGTATATTAAAAACATAAAGATAAGGATCCTCATCACAGCCGTCGCTCATCATCGTCATCATCACGGTCATCATCATCGATGATAACCATCATCGTGCATCCTCTGCATCACCAACAGTCATCATGATAATGATGACTACGCACCCTCTGCATCTCCAATCGGGTCTAACGGGACTTTTGAATCGTATATGAAAAAGATAAAGATAAGGATCCTCATCATAGCCGTCGCTCATCATCGTCATCATCACGGTCATCATCATCGATGATAACCATCATCGTGCATCCTCTGCATCACCAACAGTCATGATGATAATGATGACTACGCGTGCATCCTCTGCATCACCAACAGTCATGATGATAATGATGACTACGCACCCTCTGCATCTCCAATCTCATCATCACCGTTATCATCACCGATGATAACCATCGTCGTGCATCCTCTGCATCACCAACAGTCATCATGATAATGATGACTACGCACCCTCTGCATCTCCAATCGGGTCTATCGGGACTTTTGAATCGCATATGAAAAAGATAAGGATCGTTCTCACAGCCGTCGCCCATCAGCGTCGTCATCACCGTTATCATCATCGATGATAACCATCATCGTGCATCCTCTGCATCGCCAACAGTCATGATGATAATGATGACTACGCATCCTCTGCATCTCCAATCAGGTCACAACGATTATAATGTGATGATGATGACCATGTCATCATCACCATGATGGTGGTCACTATCGTCATCATCATCATCATCATCGTCCTCATCATCGTCGTCATCATCGTCATCATCATCGTCGTCATCATCGTCATCATCATCGTCATCACTACGCATCCTCTGCATCTCCAACCGGGTCTAACAGCACGCTTGAAACGTATATGACACAGATCTGATCAGATAGGAGAAAGATAAGGATGACAACGATAATAGTAGCTCGGAAAATAACTGTCATCGTAGCATCCTCTGCATCACCAATGCTTTCTAACCCCACACTTGAAAGGCGTAGAAAGACACATCTTTGAGGTGCAAAGGATGCTACGATGACGGTATTGCTTACGCTGATAATGTTGAATCTTTGGATATGCTCATTTACCAACCCACCTTGGACTTGTGCTGTAACCACCCTTCCCGTGCGCCTCCCCCTTTGAGGAGAAGGGGTCGGCGGACTTTTGGAAGAGATGTAGGTCAAGTAAAATGGATGCACTCCTACCCACCTGAGGTTCGGTTGATTAGTCTGTGGTGTTCATTTGGGAGGGACGTTGCGGGACACCGAAAATTGACCCAAAACAGGGGACTCGGGCTTCCCGTGTCAGAACAGTAGTTGAACAGTAGTTGGCCGTGGCATACATGGATGGAACCCGAAAAGCTGGAAAATTATACGATGCGCTTCGCTGTGGGGCTCTTTTTTCCTTTTTGCTGGGTGTCCTAATGTTTTTTGTCGCCCCAATTGGAGTGGTGACCACGTGAGACCTCGGATGTTAGACCTAAAAAAGTCCCAAAGCAAGATGGGCAAGTTTGGTTCTTGTGGGGCAATTCGGTACGGTGATGGGGTAATTGAATGGTGCCTGGGGGCTTGTACACCCTCCCAACAAGAAGGGGAGCCAAAGATGGTCCTCATAATTCTCGAAGACAGTACCCTCACCACCACAGGGTAATGTTGACCCAGTTTGCACAAATCCGTCCTATTAGGAGCGTGTTCCTTCAACAGATGCTCTTTCACCAAAAGGGGACACTGTGCCACCCCTTATGAACCAACCAGACCTTGACTCCTATCGTGCCGGGGTTGCCCTTGCCCTGAAAACCCACCCACACCCACCCACCACCCCTCCCCCCTACCACCTCCCCCACCAGCCCCCCCCCCTCCCCCACTCCTCATGATGATTGTCATCACAGTCATCACCCTTATCATCACCCTTCATGATGGTCATCATCTCTTTCTCTACTATTCAAGTGTGGCGTTGGGCACCATTGGTAATGCAGAGTACCTCCCCCTCCCCCCCACCCCCCCATCCCCCCCCCCCCCCAGGCCACCCTGGCCTTCTGCGCCTCCGCGGACGTGCAGCCCGGGGCCTTCTACGCCAACTCGCGCCAGGTCCACGTCCCCACGGAAGGCCTCCGTCTCCGGTCCCCGTCCGCTTCGGAGCGTCGTCTCGGGGCGCGGGGCGCGCGTTGTTGTTTTGGTCCTTAAGGATCAACGATGGAAACACGCGCCTGGGGGGCTGTCAGTTTTTGTTCTTTGGGGGGTATCTTTGTTTGTGAGAGTTTGTTTTAGTTTTAGTTGTTTTTTTTTGGGCGGGTCTTTTTTGTTTGTGATTTGAAAGGGACACACATGGGTCGGTCTGTTTTGAGGGTATCGGTTTAAAGGGAAACCACAAAGAAAACCATCATTTCGGGGGTCGAACTTGAAAAAGACACACCTTTATCATCGCCTTGCAGAAACGCGATCACTGAAATCAACTCATCCATGGAAGTGGGCCATTTTGTGCGTCTGTCTCAAAGTGGAGAGATCCCTGGATGGGTTTGAATGCAAACCACTGAGACCGAAATGTGTGTGGTCCTGGAAATGTAAGCCCCCGAAGTCTTGCATTTTGCAGTTTGCTCGTTGGTTTATTTGTTTGTTTGTGTCCTTGCTTGCTTGCTTGCTTGCTTGCTTGTTTGCTTGTTTGCTTGTTTGTTTGTTTGTTTGTTTGTTTGTGTCTGCGCGCACATGGGCCACGTAGGTTATGTTTGTTGTGGGGACCCCCTTTCACCTTGATTAACACGCACCCAATCTTGATACATACCCAGCTGGCTTTTTTTTCCAATCAAAAACACACCTCAAATGGTTGGTGAGCACAAATCCGTACGTAAAATAAGTCTATCACAGGGTCCCAAATCAAACTGCATACCGTATAGCCAAGTAAGGTCTGAAACCAAGTGTGTCATCCCACCAGTGTTTAACAAGTCAAAAAACGGCTTGACGGACTGGAATGACATGCATGAGTTGCACCAGGTTCCTCTATAGTAGTTGCCAACCCTTTTGGTATCCGCTTTGAACACGCAAGGCCTGTAATGTGAGGAACTGACAATACTGATGGGAAATCGACCGTTGGTTTGGGGATAGGGGTACCACCCAAATTGCGGGGGTCTTGTTTACTTTCCCGCTTGTCTGTTTCCCAGTTCGCCATGTTGTTGTGCTTGTTGTCTGTGACTGTTACTATCGCGAGCTTCTGCTGTTTGTTTTGGTGTTTCCTTTTTAGTTTGGTCGTTCTTTGTCCCTTTTCGGCGGCGTTGTTTGGGTTTCAGAGTGCACTCTGTTGTTGGCTTACCAGACAGGGTTGCTGACCCACACTCTTCGGGGCGCCTGACCATCCGCCTTCAAATAGGTTGGGCTTCCACGAAAAAGCGGCTTGCAACCCAACGAATCAACGGGCACTGTCCCTTTCAGACCCTTTTGGAGTGCCCCTTTCAATTTTCATCGGGGCTGCAATAAAATTCCCAATCTGATCCAGTGTCTTCCCACCAGACCCTTATCCCTTTGGAGTATTCGTGGGAAATGGCAAGGAAATAAGTTCGGTTTCCGCTCATGTTTTTCCTTCCCGGGAGTTGAGGAAACTCGAATTGAAAGTCCAACCCTTTGTTTCAATCACACCACTCGTCACAATGAGAACAAGCCCGCCCGCACCAACCATCCAAGCTACTTGCTTCCAATCTACAGGCTTCAGGTTTCTCCTTTGGGCCTTCCCCAACTTTGCCCTCCATTCAACCAGTTTTGTGCTACCTTAAGAGGGGCTTCCCAGAAATTTGGTCGACAAATTGCCAACTTTCAGGTTGCAAAGCTATTGGGACGGCCCGCTTCGCCGAGTCGCCGTTTCGCCGTTTGGCGGGCCTCGCGTGGACACGCTGAATCGATTGTGCTGCCTCTTCTTTGGCTATAGGTCCCTCTTTTACCAACTGTTTTGGGGGAGGGTTCCCCTACTAAAATAGACTACAGAAAAAAGGGTACCCTTATTCTATCCTCTCTACTAGAAGGACCTAGTTGGCATTTTCGCGTTCAATCCACCCATCTCATCTCACGGCCAACTCCAACCCTGCCAGTTCCACCCGTACCCCATGGCAAGGCTTAAACTGCGTCGCTACCCCTTCTGACCGCCTACCCCTGGCTTTTGACCATGGCAAGACCCTCTGGCTGAAACGTCCCGCCAGCCAGGCGCTGCGGAAGATGAGCTGTGGCAGTTCAGCGAGAGGTTGGTGGCGGCAGCCCTGAAGCACTGA